ACTGACGAAATATCTGTGGGAACTTGTATGTGATGATGTTTGTGCAGCAAGCATTATGAGCCTGTTTGAGTGTGTAGAGTCAATGGAATGACTCAGTGTTACCTTTTAAATTTCTCACTATTTGAGAATAAAATGTATATTATACTTAAATTAATGAATGGTTACAAACTGGTAAAAACTCTCTCTTATAGTTCTGTTGATTTTTGTTTAACTGTAGCTAAAAGGCTCTTTGTTAGGCTCCAAAGTTTCCTCTAAGAAGGATGATCCATAGGAAGATATCAGTCAGAGGCACAAGCCAGAGTTGTAGTATGCATTTGAAATACCTTGCAGCAAGTTCCCAGACATGGTTTAAGTCTAGTCCCAGGCTAAAAGAAAATTCAATAACCTTCATTAAAAAAATACGTTTATGGTCTGGGACTAAGCTTAATCCACGCCTGGAAAACTGGGCCTCAGTCAGTTTTTAATGTACTATATAGTTCAAAGGTTATGAATCCACAACCCACCATTACTGGCAATGTGGAAAAAATTACACTTCATTGATTTTCACTGCTTCATGCCTTTTATCAAATAGACACAAAGCAGTTTAAAGAAAATATAAAATAAATTATAACAGCTCTTTCAAGCTTTGCTTCGAGTTGCCCCAAGTGTAAAGTAAACTATTTTTGGTCCCTTTTCCACTTGACAATCCTGACAAATGTGCTGTAAGATTGCCTATATTGACATTTAAGATGAGTCATGACCACCATCCAGCTGTCTGCAGGCAACTGAATCTTCTATCTGCAATTCTAGTAAGAACAATGTGAGGATGGTATGAAAATATCACATGCTTAGCCCTACATGGTGTCAACGAGAAACTGAAATGGCCCAAATAGAAAACAGATACTGATTTTTTTTTTCCCAGAACCACCTGACAATAAAAAAATTTAATAAAAATCTTCCACTGACACAATGAAAAGCAGTTGTCTGTCTTGCCAGTCCAAAATAATCGTTTTAATTGGTAAAAAAAAAAAAACATTCAAGGATTGCTGTAAACTTTTAATACTCTGTTTTATAACTTTCTGAAATAGGCAGCTGCTTCTGCAGTCCACTAAAAATCAGCACAGAAAAAGAAAGAAAGAAATTAGACATCAACTTCCATACTTAATTTAGACTATCAGTCTCTTTTATGAAGAAGTGTCCCATGTCATGAAACCCATTTGCACCTCACACACTCAAGGAAATGCAGTTATCCAATCATGCTTCAGCACACACGAGGTCTGGATTGCACAGTTTCCTGAACTCTTAAGTGCAAAAGATCACTGGTGATGTGATGAGTGACCTAACTCAAAATGCAAACTCCAAGATGTGAGAAAAACAAAAAGCATCACAATGTACATGTTACTGTCAAGGCCAAACATACAAAATCACATAAATCTCACTACTTAGACATACAAAAAAAGATATGTATACTAAAATAGATGCACAGCCTATGCAGAATGTCAGAAAATGCCAGTAAATATGCAATCGAATTCCACCCTTTAGAAAGCAATCAAATGCAAGGTAGAATATAAACAGGAAATATTTTTAAATTACATCCAATGCCTCTAAACCACTGGGACATAACAACAGAACAGGCAGAATTCTCATCAGACACAGAACATATTAAAAGCTCATGCCTCACTCCTAACACTGCAAAAAAGTAAGAGAAAATGACTCACAAAGCATCCAGGTCAGCCATTCACTACCCTTCCCATCAAACAAATGGTAGTACCCTAGCACAGACAAGTCTATTCCCTTCAATGAGCCATTTAAAACTGTTTCACCGCAGCAGAAAAAAACCCCACATAAAATATCCATCTCACTACAGGGGAATGCCATTTGCCATTTCACTGTCCTAAATGAATGTGTGCAAGCAAACCTCAGGTCAAACAAAGAAATCTGACCAGATATTCATGCTAGGCAAGCTGGACTAAGCCTTTTTATGTCAGATAGAAGCACTTATCTGCTTTGACAACTGCAAATTCATGGAGGAGAGACAGAGAGAGTGAGTGAGGGGGGGGGGGGGGGGCATAGCACCACATGGTGACAGCAGCATGCAATGACATGCATGCCTGGGGATCGAAAAAGCCTGACCTCTTTTAAGGAAGGAATAGTCCATACAATCAAGATGTTTCAGCGGTGCTTCTGACCATCAAGAGCAAACTGCGCTTTCCTGTCAATCAGACCAAAGCTGATCCCCGCAGATTTGGACCGTACATCAACCAACAGAGGATGTTTAAATCCTCCCGTGCCCATAACCAGTATTTAATCTCAAGGTCATTCTAAAAACACTTTGACTTCTTGACCTCTTTGTCTTTAAGTAGTGCAGCTCATTAATCAGTTAAGTCTCAATGGGTGTTATAAATAGTTTTATCATAAATCGCATGTTCTGCCAAAAAAAAAAAAAAAGGTCGTAAACAATCTCCTGGACACCCTCGCTAAACCCACCGATAAGGGACCGCTTCAGTCCAGAACTAAAAATCCATAAAGTCAGAGTGATGCATAACAGCACTTTGTTCCAAGCGACAATGTAGTATGTGGCCAAATACACTGTGCAGTGCCACATTGTATTAAGGCAACAGTGAAAAGACTTAAAATGTCGCGTGTGAGCACTCAGGGCAATTTAGAATCCAGCACAGACCGTAAACTTTAAAAGCCTTGGTTTGCCACCTTATTAAAGTCAATAACAAGATTAATTTGAATGCGATGGTGCTAACAGTACTTCGCTGCATATTTTAGATATTTATCTCAGTGCGCAATGCTAAAAGCAGACAAGCGGTGACAAAATTTCAAATGATGTTAGTAATTAAATGCTTAATGAAGCGTCAAGAAAAAGAAGAGCCTTCCACAAACGCCCTGAAATGCAAATATTTGGCTTTCTTAAGAGCGTGGTAGCGAATTAACTAGGTTGCTAGCATTAGCAGCTAGCTATCGGTAAGCTGACGTTAGCCGCTGCATAGATCACGGTAAATCAACAAGACGCTCGCAAAGAAAACAATGACACTTGTCAAAGAGCGTATATGGTAACAGTAAAAAATTGAAATCTTTTTCGTGTACAAAGCTGTGTTTTACAACCTTTAATACCCTCTCTTTACCCCATCCCCCAACCGCGGAACTTTGACTAAGAGCCAATCCATCCAGAGAACCAAGGAAACCGACAGCTAGCGTTAGCTATTCGACTGAAAGCCAGTTAACAGGTTAGCATGTTAGCAAATGACTCTGTTTAGGTAGCAGCAAGCTAACAAGGATCCCTCAAAATGCCGGGCCTCGTTTTACCCCCCGAGTGGGGGGGTCATTTAAATTATTTAAACCCGAACATATTCACATGACAATGTCAACATCGAGCACAAATATTACCTCGAATACTAAGCAATGCTGCCCGCACATAAATATTGATTTCAAGTCTTCTTTTTCTACGGGCCGCAACAAAATACCTGTCATTGAGCTGATCCTCGGTCCCGGGCAACGGGTGAACCACGAAGTGTATAGATGTCATTGGGCTAATCCAAAATCACACCGAGACGTGTGGAAATGGGTACTCTTTCGATTACTGTATATATGAGGATTCATAGGAATCTTTTAAGGGCGAAAAAGCTCGAGTTAGATCCCAGCCTCCTCACCCACATGCCGCCATCTTAACTCTAACCAGCTTCTTCTGTGTGTGTTGATTAGTGCACATGCACTCGCTCCGCTGGTTGGACCTCTAGCACAAACAGGAAATAAAAAAATTGGATGGGGCTGGCCTCGAGAAGAAAGACATCTGTAACAAAAAGCCAAGCGTTGCACTTCCACACTCCGAAGGCTTTGTTCTAATCCAGTGCACCTATTGCATCTTAGTATGTTTTGTCTGTTAGGCAGTCGAGGTGTTCATATGTTCACTAAAGCACTATGAAGGTCAAAGAAAGGGTTAAATTTTGCGAGGTTACCTCTTTAAAAGCTGGAACAATAGAATAGAAAAAGATGAGACAATTGGTTTTAAAATAGAGTATCAACGAAAAAGAAGCACAAATTTGTGCCTTTTGTGCAGTTACAAGCGGTATAGTTTTTTCTATTAAAAATTGCGTCATTATAATCTAGCTTTATTGTCTGCTTCCAAGTCAAAATGTTTAATCATAGATAAAATATTCTTTCTAAAGCCATTCAGTTAAAAAAGGTATGTACAATGCATAACACGGTAACTAATCAGTGGTAAGAAATGTATTAATGTCAGCCTAAAATGCTAACACGATGAACTGGACTGCTGTTGTTATAATAATGTTTCACAGCTAGCACTATTAGCTTTAGCGTTTAAGCTACCCAACTTGAATTCTTTGCTACCGTCCACTGTACTGTGGCTATTTTCTCCCTGTGAACACGTGTGGTTATGCAGGCCTCTGTGCGTGTCTGTAACTAGTAACTGAATTGAATTCTTTGCTTGTATGTTGTTTGCGATTTGCTTTTGCTCGCCTCTTTGTAAAACAATATTTATGAATAATAAAATATTAATGAAGAAATTAATGACAAGTATACTTTGCCCCTACTTGCAAAATTTCATCCTTGAGTTAAATCAAATGAAAGGATGATGAAAAAACAACAAAATAATAATAATACTAATAATAATAATATCAGATGTCATTCTGCTAGACAGATAAACTGTATTATATAGAGTGATAGCACGAGGTGTGAAAGATTTCCTGTTTCTGTAATAGGTGTGTATCTGAATCAGCTCCTTGAAGCCCCTCTGCTTCCTGTCTAGTTAAGTGCTGCAGTCGAGGATTACCTAAGACTGATAATAGTTTGTTCAGTGATCTCCTCACCACCACAGTTTCAAAAGAGCCAGCCTCTCTAATCATTTTATGCTACCATCAGAGGTAGCATCACCACCTCTGATGCTACTCCTTCAGCCGACTACACCAAAGTACACTGCACTTGCCAGTACAGACTGATATCTCGAACAATTTGCTGTGGACACTGAAAGCAAACAGAGCCTCATCATCCCCTTTTGTATATGGCCTCTTTATTGGTCTTCCAATTCAGTCTGTTGTTTATGTGGATCCCCAGATACTTGCACCCTGGCACCACACCAACGTCTTGTCCCAGGATTGGGTTGTGTGGCTGTCCTCTTCCTTCTAAACTCCATCACCATCTCTCGGAAGCAGATGATTCCTCCCAGACCACTCCACAAAACCGTCCACTACTGCTCTGTACTCCCAATACATCCAACCACCTTACAGTTGTCAGAGTAATTTTGCAGACTGCTGATGTTTCTGAAAAATGTTTAAAATTGTGATTTGTCCTGTTAATTTACCGTCAGCTGGTAAACCAAATATTATTTGTTGCAGATAAAGTAAGAGCAACATCAAAATCTGAAAATAAAATTATAATTTTTTATATAAGTAATTATTTATTACTCAAAAGTACTTGCAATATGGCAACATGGGGATTGTTGTTGGGTTATTTGGGGCCTCTTAAAAAGATTACGCATTTTGATTTATAATAGCAAAGTATAAATCTGTTATGACTAAAGTAAAATTATGACTAAATTAAAAATAAGAATAATTATTATATTGAGATGCAAAACTACATTTTAAGACCTTCATAAATTCTGCTCAGGGATAAAAACAAAATCAGATTATACTCTCAATCCATTTGGAAATAGGTATATTTAATCCTGTGTTTGGTTTTTCATTTTTTTGCTATATAACACCTAAATATCCAAAACAACAACAGCAACAAAAAAAACCCCAACCAACACTTACTATTAATCCATTATTTTGGCATATATTTGAACATTATTTGTAATAAAAGATCAGATGTACTTTATTCATCCCTAATTCTGGGCAAGATCATAAAACAAGACAGCTCCTAAATTAAAAAAAGAAAGAACTCAATTAAAAATAAAGATGAAGAGCTCATTAACTGACAAATGTAAGTAAATAAGTTAATATGTATTTATTTAAGTAGTATCTAAGTAAAATTAATAAGAATACCCATCTCACTACAGGGAAATGTCTGTTATATAATAAAGTAAAAGTAAATATACATTAAAAATGTATTCATTAATAGCAATAATGTTGATAAAAAATGCAACTGAAATATATCAAATCAAATGTGTATTTATTTTTTTTTAAATATCTAATAATTAAGAAAAAATATGCTTGGTATAAACTGAATGTACACCAATCAAGTAAATGTCATTGTTCTATTATCATTTGTACATTGCTCAAAATTACTTGTAAGATTTACATTATATCAAATTAAAGTCAGCATTTTGGGCATATTTTATTTTTGAGTGTATAAAGCAGGAACTCCACTTTACTTCTCCTCATGCCACAATACTCGTATCTGTATTTGTGGCAGCAGAGATGAAACAGATGTTAAAAAAAGTGAAACAAAAAATCATGACCCTCAGATCATTGCTGCTATTCTTACACTGGTTTATATTTCAAACTGAACCGCCTAAAACCTGAGCTCTATAAATGGAAGACCACTGGGAGTCTGTGCACAGCTGATCTCCCTCCCATAGAAAACTGTGTTAGTGCGGTATTCCCAGTCTATTTAAGCCCTGTTGAGTTAAGGAAATAATTTTCTGTTGTTTGAAAGAAAGAAAAAGTAGAAGACTCTAATTTAAGCACAAGGTTACGATTATAACATTGTCAAAAGGAAACTCTAGTTTAAGCAGAGCTTAAAACTTGACCCATGCATGTCCTGGATGTGAGCAAAGGAGCTATAGTCAAGAGATGGCCATTTGGGAGAGGAGGGGTGAATGAGCCTCTGTTCAGTGCATGGTGCAAATGATAAGATTAGAATTTTCCAATTTCCTGAAATATAGATTTTGTGTTTCCTGTCCCCTCCCAAAAAATTGCATTGTTAAAAGACAAATAAATAAATGAAAACAGCCTATGCAAAACAATGATTTCCTACTCATATTTTGGTTATACACGTACAATCCCCCAAAAGCTGCAGTTTATCTCACCAGTAGGTGGCATGGTTTACCTTTGATAATAATGTGAGACAGTTGTAGTGATGACAGCTGTCCTTCCTGCGCTGCTCTTCTGATTATTTGCCAACACAAAAATGCTGCAGAGTTTTTTCTGGATATTTATGCATTCTGATAAGCTCATGGAGAGTCGCCCTTCAAAGCTGGAACTGAAAATAAGAGTTTGCACTTCTGCCCCAAGTCAGGTTCCTCTTTTATCTGCAAAGTACAGCAGAAGTTTCCACTCAGCTCTAGCAAAGAGAAATGCAACCATCTGACTCAAAATTACCCACATGGATGTTACTGCATATGTAAGTGAGCAAATTTTCACTAGATTATTCGATCATACGTTGTTCTTCAAGTTTGTATGCACCACATCAACCAACCAGATGAGAGAAGAGCGTAACTTTTATCTGTGTTTACTGAATTCAACACAGAGGTTATTTAAACCAAGGCCATTGCTCCAAAAAAACACCCTGTACCTTTTTTTAAGGGAGTAGACAAACAAACCAGAGCTATTTTTAGGTAGGAGGGTACTGGGTTATTAAATGACCCCTGGAGTTCTTAAATATGGGTACAAAGAGTCAGGGCCAGAAAACTGCATTATCATCAGAGAAAGGTTAGCAGGTTTGAGGATTTAGAAAGTGTGCACATTTTAGGCTGCAAATTTAACTCAATGAATAAAGTTTTATTGCACGCAGAGACACCAGAGACAAGATATCCTACTCGGTATAATCAGAGGTTTTCCAGTTGTTATACCTTAAAACTAGACTGTTTTCATCAGTGAACCCAGACAAGCTGCTGTCAGTCAGCCCACAATCACTTCAGCCCATGTTTTACTGACTGGGGTAACATGATCAATAGCTGAAGAGTATGAGTTTAAAATAACTTCTCTTAGTGCTGGCAGAAGCATATCTTTGCAGGACTAGGGAAGGACAGAATGTAGCTCTACCTCTTAACATGCACTCGCCTGCACAAACCAAAAAAAAACTATATAAAAAGAGAGAAAGAGCATTCAGCCAGTCCTGAAATGTAATCTATGAGGAAAATCCCACACCAGCACAGATAAGATGGTGCTTTATTTGGGGCACAGTCTTCAAACTATTTTAAGCAGTTTTCACCTGATTTGACCGGCGACTATTAAAGTACTTTATAATGGTTCAGAATAACTGCCCATTAAAGGTTTCAAGAAGGGTGCTGAGCGGTGAAGGACTTTGCACAAACTGTGTGCACAACCTACATCAAATCATAGATTTCTGCACAGCTTACAAGGCAATATATTGTATATGGCTGGTGAATAAAGAGATGTAGTGAGTAGTCTCTTTCTGGACATAGCAACACATCCATTTCTGAAACAGCTAAAGAGAACCCCAAGTCCTTGGTAATCTAGTCGAAGTGGAAATAAGCTAACAAGCTCCAGTTATCCATTTGTTACTTGCCATCTAGGGGTCAGGTCATAATATGAATGAAGCACTGGTCGTAACACATTGCACCACTGTATACACATGTTGTGAGGCTCTGCTCTAAAGAGCTATTCTATGATTGGTCCAATGCCACAGGATCCTCTTTTATGCCATAACCTCTCACTTAAGCTGAGCTGTTTTGCAAACCAAGGATGAACTGCATGCTCATGCAGCAGCTGCTTGTCAATCACAAAGTACACCCACCTTAGAGAGTACCACATTTATCATACATTTCTAATATAATGAAGACCCCTGTGTACAACAGGAGTCTTCATTATTTTTCCTCCTATCTTTCATCTTTAAATTGTTTGCAATAAACTCAACATGCAAACATGATTCATGTAGATTTATGAGCTGTGGATTGGCCAGTTGCAATGCACTATAAGTTGGATTACTGATCAGAAAATACTTAATTCATATTTTTTTATTAGTTCTGAGACACTGAATGCAAGTTTCAGGGAGCTTGATAAAGTTACAAATGAAATCTTTATGCATTGCATGGTCACACTTTTATTCTGTTCCAGCAAATATGCTTTTGAGGAACATCCCAACAATGCCAGACACAGTCAAATGGGCTGTGTGTCTGTGTGTGTATTTCCCCATTGTGTGTCTACAACCAGCCTTTTGTCCCGGTTCTCTGTGCTGTGCAGGAAGGTCTAGACAGCTGACACTTACCTAATCCAGAGGGGTGGCTGAACCCATCTCCTGTTGGCTGACCTCTTTCCACAAAAGACAAGGGTCTGCTAATTTAAACACCAGTCACATTAATATATATCTATATTGGGGGAGATTTTGAGAAGAAATAAAAAACCAAAAATTACTCAAGAGATGTAGCCTATTCACATCATTCACTGGTAGCATTTAGTATCTTTAATATGTGAAATGTATTGTTGTTGCTTTAAGCACCAAATTATCTGAACCTTCTTCCTGTCAGGTGAAATGATTACGGTAAAACACAGCTGCCTTGCAACAAAGTGGGGGACGAGATTTACACACAAAACATTGGCACTAACAAAATGTAGTCTGGTTGCAACTCTGAATGAGATTAATGGTAATGAATAATAGTAGAAATTATTTGGTGTTATTTCACTTTTGAAAAGTAAAGGAGGATTAGTTAATTGCAGTGAAGGGGTGGGGGTATTATACAAAAAGGGGGTGGGGGGGTCTGAAGCACTTGTTCACATAATTTCCACTAATGGATGAATTAAGAAGATATATTAGGAAATATTTCCACCACAGGTCCCCCCCTTTATCCATGGCCCTGCCTCTCTACTTTAATTAAATAGTAGCTTCATTTAGATAGATTTATCTGAAGATTGTTAAATAGTAACAAGTGCTATATTAATTACCTACCTGTTGCTATCTCATAATGAGCATCTTTTCTCACTGTCTTCACTCCAAGTGTCATAGTGATGATTAGCCAAGACAGATGGTGAGCGTCTGCTCGTCAGGGCAAAGTTACTCATTAAAAACGCCAGTTATTTGCAAGGTGGGTGTGTGGGTTGGGGGGTGGGGTTTTTTCTCACACTCCCTTGCTGTTGTGTACCACGCAGTCTCCACGGTGCCTTCAGCCCCTGATCACGCACGGTGCCCCCGCACCATTGGTCTACCCTAAAACACACCTTTGCGTCCCATTGGGCGCGGCTTCGGGCCACGCCCATCTGTTCCCCCACCGCATTTGAAACGATGAATGGAAACGAGGCTGTGGAGGAAATTAGGAAACATACTTGCCTGGTCTTAAGTTGTTCGCACGAGACTTGTGGACGCGCGTCTAGGGATTAAACCTGTTTCCTGAACACTTGACGCACTCATACATATATGTAAGTACATATTAGCTTCGTCATATTTACGGTTTAGCATAGTGTTTTCTTTTCTTCTTACGTGTTTAATGTTCGTGTAGAAACACGTTGATAAAGTGGTTGTCAGCAGCTAATTAGTCAGACAGTCTGGCGGGCTTCATCAATAGTTATTGAGGAGTATGATTATGGGTGCAGCTTGTGTGTGGTGATCCGGGCCTGGGCAGGGAGGAGTTCTTACAGTAGGTGTTGTGTGTCTGTTTTGTAACCACCACACATGCTGCTTTTGTCCCCCAGCAAAGTAGGTGAAAGGGCAACCGCGCTGATGAGCAGCAGCTGATCATGCTTATCTCTCATGCTCTTTGGCAAAATCTTTAAGGCCCTGAGATAATGGTCATAGTGTAAATTTGATCGTAGGTGATGTATTCACTTATTTTTAGTGAAGGCTATCATTGTTGGATTACGTTGCGTGAAATGTTATGAATTTAAATTACAGTTAATTTGGTCTTTGCCAGAGTTACACTATGAAGTCTGAGGAGCATCACTGTAACATCTCAGACGTCCAGGGTGAATCCCAGCCAACTGACATGGGTGCAGGTGATATGGAAGCTGTGCGGGCTCTGATGTCCATGACTAAGCACTGGAAGTCACGAAACTTCAGGGTGAGGCACTACAGACCTCTGTCTCCCTCCTCAGACTCCTCAGAGGACGACCAGGTCACCACCAGTTCTGCTGTGCTGCAGGACTCTCTGTTTGTAAGGGATCCTTGTTTAGGATGAAATGGTTTCTATGTAACTGCATGATTCTAGTAAATGTAGATGTATTGGGACAGAAGAGAAACTTTATTACTGACTTTGATAATGTGACTTTTCTTCTCAGTGCATGACACCACCATGCAGCCCGCCCCACTTTGTGACGGCCTGTCCAGGTCCAGCTCTGAAGCCTCACCGACCTACAGAAGCGACGTCTCTGCACAAACACGCTGCTCAGCAGAGCTTCCAGTGCACCAGTGTGATCCGTCACACTGCAGATGGCCTCCACTGCTCCTCCAACCTTAATCGTTCCTCAAAGGAGGAAGAGGTCGTTCGGGTTCACATGCTGGACTCTAAAACTGATGTGAACTGTAAAGATGAGCCGAATAGCAGAGACTCTGAGGAGACTGTTACAACACAAGCTTACACTGAGACGTCCCCAAATGTTGTTCAGTCCAGAGACAACCCAGGAAGCCTTTTAGGCTTAAATGAAAATAAAAATGCGCCTCAGTCTGTCCCAGCTGGAGATGCTCTGGTCTCGCCTGTGCCTGTCTACTGCCACATTGTTCCTGTCTCTTCTTTGGCCACCGTTGTGCAGAACGCTGTCACAAACTCGCACAGTCAGCAGCAACACCTACTGCCAGCAATCACCATGGTGCACACGCCACTGCAGCTGCAGCACAAACAAGAAGGACACACGGCTTCTTCTGCTCAGGTCTTCCTTGTAGGGGGTCAGGTGGCAAAGGGTCCCGTCATGCTCCTTGTCCCTCAGCCGCCTGTTCCTCCTGTCTACATTCAACCAGCACCGGTGACCAATGGTGGACCAAAGTTCGCTGCCATTGCCCCGGCGCCTCATCGCACCTTATCGCAGCAAAGATGTGTCCCACAGCAGCCAGAGGTGGCCCGCGCACGCAATCACGTTTGTCCCCGTGAGAACTGCAACAAGACTTACTTCAAGAGCTCTCATCTCAAGGCCCACATGAGGACGCACACAGGTAAGAGATAAATGAATTAAATGTTAATATAACGCATATGTATTTGAATGCTATGGCAGTTTTTAAGCAAATGGCACAAGTGTGATCTTCTAGTCATGATAGCAATGTTTTACCCGTTGGAGTATGTTCAGAAAAGTCCTTATTCCTGCCTCCACCATCCAACAGGTGAGAAACCTTATAAATGCAAGTGGGAGGGTTGCGAGAGGCGTTTCGCTCGCTCCGATGAGCTGTCCCGGCATCGCCGAACCCACACGGGAGAAAAAAAGTTTGCCTGCCCTATGTGCCTCAGCCGCTTCATGCGTAGTGACCACCTTGCCAAGCATGCCCGAAGACACCTGGCAGCGATGAGGGGACGCTGCTGAACTCCCTGCATGCAGTATCGTCTTCAGCAACAATAACAAACAAACCCCACTGTGAAACCAAATGACATGCTCTACGCTGTTGAGACTGACTCACACAAGACCGTAGATGTTTTTTACATCACCTTATGAAAGGGCTATTGTGCAACACTGTTAAACTTTGCTATACTGCTGTTCTGTAATCATTCTAATTGAATATAAACGAGGTACCGTAATCAAAGTGTTTACATTTAACTACTGCATTAGCATAAGCTGAGTAGTTACGTATTTAAATGTTACTAAGTTTACTTTTTTGTCAGTGATATTTGACCAAAAAATGTTACATGTTGTTCTTTTGTGCCATGACAATCAGTTTAAAATATTTTTGCACTTTTTCTTGCACAAAACACAGAATTCCTTAATAAACCTAAACATATTTGTCTAGATTTTTTTTTTTTTTAAGAGTTGTAATTTAAAATCTTTTCTGTGGTTCCCACATGCTTCTGATACCTGAAAATGTATCCCCCTTCAGCTCATCACATGATAACTGTATAAAATTATCAGGCTGTGAAACTGAGGGGTACCAATTCTATCTATGCATACAGCTGGAGGAAGTTACAATTTACAACATTTGTGCATTTCTGATAAGACACACACACTGGGATTTACAGTCCACTCAGTGGGGTGTTTATTACTCTTCATTTAGACAAGCACAGCTACACGTTAAAAGCAGGCAAATGCCTGATAATTTATCATGCCTTAAGACAGATTTATGACAGTTTCACAGATATGATACACACAATGCAAGTATACTTGGTGTCAGGAAATACTGCTATATTCTATCAACACAGATGTTGGAAGAATATTTCAAACTATATGAGTAGAAATAGAACTTGCAGTAGTCTTTTAAATCATTTTTTGTAAAGAAACAATGTCATTTTCAGTGTAAGTCGATTCATTATCCACCAGCACTTCCTGTGTTCCATCTGCAGCACATGCTGTCTAATAAAACCTGCTTGGCTGTCAGGTAGCAGAGCACTTACCTGCCAGTCTTGGAAGCAAGACGCTCAGCACTTTGGAAAAGCACGCAAACACCACCTTATTTAAGGACACTCACCTTTTAGCTTTCAAATAATTTTCAGAAACTGACGCCACGGTGACGCCAAACATTTTGTATGTACAGCAAAGATATGCTGCAAGCTCTCAATTTAATATGAAGATGTCACTTTTTAAATGTAATAATGGATTCTAGCCTTTGTGCACACACAAAAAAAACCTACACAACAAATTAAAATACAAAATACAAATCTTTTGGCAAAACTTTCTATATAATCTCAGAAGTGTTTCTTTTTATAAATACACTGCTTCAATCAGGGATACACATAATATACAAGACTGACAACAGCAAAGGAGATATGAATAATAATATCTGTCAAATATAATCATTTAAAAGTATTATATGTCTACTGTAGGGGTGTAAACTGTAGTTCAAGAGGAGTCCCCAAACTGTCTTTTCTGGACTCATCCATTTTGTTGCATACTAATTAACACCTACTTAGGGTTTCCAGGGCTGACCACACAGAAGTGCAGTGCACTGGGGTCTGTGAGATGAATATGGTCTGGTCCAGGCAATTTCAAGCACTACTGGGAGAGTTGACCCCAGGGGAATGTGAACCAAAGGAAGCTAGCAGCAGAAACAAGTGAGAAAAGTGAAAAGACTTCTGGTCCCAGTCAGATGTTTCCTAAGCTGGGACCGACAGTGCAGCCTCTGTTTGGCAGGAATTGAGGAAGTACGGGACCAGGGAGAAGTTCTTAAGCATAGCCTCGTTGGTAACACCAGTGTCCTGCATC